GATTTCTCTAGACGCTCTTCGTGACGAAGGACCTATTGTGCTAATACTTGACGGGTTGGACGAGTGCGGCAACACACGGACACGCAGAGAGCTCATTTCAGTCGTGGCCGAAGAAATCGTCAAGTTTCCTGCGTTTGTCCGGACAATCGTTACTAGCCGTGCCGAGCTTGACATCCGCAATGCGTTCGAGCATATAGGAAACGTATGTGTGATAGGATTGGAGACTACGTCGGATGTCACCCAGAGTGATATTATGTCATATTTCTGCCACCACATGGCCAGGATCCGTGCCGATAACAAGATCCTGCAATTAAAGCCAGATTGGCCAGGAAGCCGCAAGCTCCGTGCCTTGTGTGACCGTGCTTGCGGTCTTTTCATTTGGGCGTCAACCGCTGTCTTCTTCATTGAAGAGGGACACGACCCGGTGGAACGCATTGATATGCTATTGCAGGCGGAGGTCTCTTCGGATGCAGAATCTGCTCTGGATATTCTGTATTCCAAGGCGTTACAATCAGCAGCTCTGACCGATTCAACGTTCATATCAGATTTCCAGGTCATCATGGGGACGATCATCTGTGTTAAAGACCCTCTTACTCATTCTGCTATCGACCATTTATTGGCCCTTGACAAGCGGCCTTCCCTGCACACACTGTTGCGTCTAGGATGCGTTCTCGAGTGCAGCACGGAGAAGCCTGTCCGTGTATTGCATCCTTCTTTCGCAGATTTTCTTTCGAACCCTCGTCGATGTAAGAATATGGCCTGGCTTATCGACTTATCTAGTCGTAATTTTATGCTTGCGAGTCAGTGTCTTGACCGCCTTGAGGAAACCCTCCGGCGAAATCTCTACGATTCCCCGCTGTCTTTATCAAAGGTGGACGCTAACCTCCCCGAACATATTGCCTATGCCTGCGTGTTTTGGATAGATCATATTTGCATAGTCAACGAAGAGCTCACGCCCATTAGTCATCGTGTTGAAAAGTTTTTGCTTCATCATCTCCTGCATTGGCTAGAGGCCATGAGCATCTTGAAGCGATCGTGGGATTCCTCCGAATTGCTGACTCGTATCGCTGAATGGGCAAGAGTACGTTCATTTGTCTTGCTTTTGGCTGTCGAATCCAATCCTAATTTGACCGTACAATGGCAGGTTTCCGTACCTCACCGAGTAGGCTTGTCCCAACTAATAAACGATGCGATCATGTGCACCCAATCATATCCAAATTTCATCTCATCTCACCCTTTGTTGATATACGAAAGTGTTTTGCCACTGCTTCCCGCCAACTCCACGCTTTACCAGACGTTTCACGATCCATCCCTCTTCCCTTGGGTCGCAGGCGGGTTCGAAGAATCATATCCTCCACCTCTCCAGAAAGTGCTATCAGGTCACGATCAACAAGTCCAGTCCGTTGCTTTCTCTCCTGATGGTTTACGGATTGTATCCTGCGCGGACGATGGAACTGTTCGGGTATGGGACCATACTTCGGGCATGGAAAGTATGACACCATTACGAGGTCATGAAGACCAGGTTTTTTCCGTCTGCTTTTCTCCGGATGGAACACGTATCATTTCTGGGTCGAAAGACAGGACTGTACGCATCTGGGATGTACATCGAAGAGAACAGAACCAGCCACCACTTCATGGACACACAGGCAGCATACTCTCAGTAGCCAGCGCTCCCGATGGACGCCGCATTTTGTCAGGGTCAGAAGATATGACAATTCGGTTGTGGGATGTGGAGACTTCGACGCAATCACTCTTGCCCCTCCAGGGTCACAATGGTTGGGTCTGGTCTGTATGCTTTTCACCCGATGGGATGCAAATTTTATCTGGCTCCGAGGATAACACTATTCGGTTATGGGATTCTGTATCAGGGACATGTCTCGCGGTTATGAAAGGTCACAATGGAGCGGTCATGTCCGTTGCTTTCGCTCCAGACGGATTGTCTGTTGCGTCTGGATCCGTAGATCAGACTATTCGGTTGTGGATGCTGTCTTCCTCGGGTGAAGAAATCGTTCCTTGGGTGAGTGTGCACACGGGTCCCGTGTTATCCGTGTCTTTCTCCCCAGATTGCAAACGTATTGCGTCAGCCTCTATTGACACAATCCGTTTGTGGGATGTAAAGTCCGGCACTGAGTCCTCCACTTCCCTACGAGGAGGGCATAGCGACGTGATTCACTCGTTAGCCTTTTCTCCCAGTGGAAGGTCCATTGTATCGGGCTCAGCCGATAGAACTGTTTGTGTATGGAACACCGCTCTTATTGGGATCTCAGAAGTACAAGACACTCGATTATGCGCTTTGGCGTGCTCTCCAAACGGCGCAATCGTCGTATCCGGCTCTCAGGATCATACACTGCGCGTATGGGACGCAGCATCCGGGAAAGAAATCCGTGGACCTTTACGAGGTCATACAGATGCTATTTCGTCTGTTTCGTTTTCCCCGGACGGCACTAGATTTGCCTCTGGAGCACGGGACATGACTGTTTGTGTGTGGGATGCCACTACAGGCACGAGGGCCTTGGGACCCTTGAAAGGGCCAAATGTAGCATGTCTTTTCGTCGCCTTTTCTGCAGATGGGGCCGAGGTTACTGCTTGTTCAGAAGATGGGAGAATGTTCATATGGGACGCGACAACCGGCACTTGCTTGTCCACAATACGTCATCCAATAGACCATCCCTGCCGTTACCGTGGACCACTTGAGGTCACCGCTGATGCATGGATAGTAGAAGTGGCAACTGGAAAAACTCTATCGCGCCTCCCTCGTACAATATCAACTGTCACGACGGTGTCGCATAAAACAATGATCGCCATAGGCACCTTGAGTGGTCGGTTGATTGTCATGCACTTTCCAGCAGGTGTCAAGCTTCCTTGATCATTGTAATCGTAGACTTCTGGATTGGACGGGTTTGTCGTGCGCATACGGTTCTTTACGAGTTACTACTTTATCTTGTATATTAAGCACATGTGTCTCCACGCGATTAGGAAGCGGAAGGAAATGTGTGGTATTGGACTTCTAAATGATGAGGGGAGATGCCGATTGAAATCAAAAGAATAATAATGATACAGATACAATTTGCCAATGCAATATATGTCCGTCCTTGATCATGGAAACGAACTTGAATGCCAGATCGTTCCTACGATGTCGCAGTCCGTGATTGCGCCAGAAACGTACGAGCCTCTTCCCAGCCCATTCGCTCTCGCTCTTTCCCGGTAGCCTCGCCCCTTCTGACTTCTTCAATGTCTACCGCCTTCCAATCCTCGTAGCCTGTGACGAGACCTCCCTTCAACGTAACTTCGATCTCTGGAGGAACACCGTCAAGACGCGGGTCAGAATTCATGAGGATGTCATTGTCTGTCTGAAGTGATGGCTCAGGCGACGGCGAAGGAGGCACAGATGTTGTGTTAGCTTCTTCTCCTTTTGGAAGCAAATCGGATATGATAGTATCAGCAACTGCGTACGCATCCATCATTGTGGATGCCAGGACGCCTTTCGCACCCGTCGCGGCCCAACCAGAGGCATAAACATTTCTCAGGGCTGTCCCTGATGACGATATAACACGACCGGAGAGGGTACGGAGGTGACCAAGTCCTGGGTCGTAGAAGGACATCATGGGATCGGAGTGGAAACCAAGAGATGTGACAACTAGTGAAGTAGGCAGAACCGATGTCTCGCCCGTCGATACCGCACGATTGGTCTTGGGATCGAGAGTAGTGTGCGCGAAGGATAGCTGGGCCAAAGGAGAGGAAGATGTTGGCGGAGCTAACCCAGTTGGAGAGCGGAAGAAATCAAGGGACCAGGTCTTGGGAGTGGTGCCCAGACTCTTGTCGGATCCTTTGCGCAGGAGTTGGAGAGCACGCGTTTGTTGTCGTGTGAGCTTAACGTCTGGCGATGGTATCAATGCTGATGGATCGATAGGTACCATCGACGCTTCCGGAAGGTTCATCAACTCCCTCAGCTCTTTGACAGTAAAAGCGGCTTCGAAAGGGCCTCGCCTAGCTATGATTGAGACATGTTTCACGCTCGAGCGGGATAAGACGTCTAGAACATGCTCTGGAATGTCGTATTTTGCCAAATCAGATGGAGATGAAAGTAGCATCCTTGCGATATCTAGTGAGACGTTCCCATTCCCAATCAATGACACGTGAGTGATCCTATCAAGGGCTGGGGGCGGGGGACGTGACGGATGTTGAGTATACCAGTGGACAAGTGACAATGCTGGTACACAATGGGCGGACGGGGGCAAAGCTGGATGGAGAGTAGGGAGGGTACAGCCCGTAGCAAAGAGAAGGTGACTGTAATTCGAAAATATCGATGACAGAGGTAAGTTGACACTATGTGGTATTGGCGAGATTGGTGTACTGCCAATATTGACATTGCCAAAGAACCGAAAACGAGGGTCAGTTGCAGCCGTGTCAAATTTATGTGTGCAGTTCTGAGTATAGACATAAATTACCGGGCATGTGTAAGAGTAGTGCAAATGTGACGTACCTTGACTTCTGGATGGTCTGGCGCTACACCATATCTCACTAACCCATGCGGAGCCCACAGTCGATCGTACATATGAATCCTGAGCGCTGGCAGCGATGCATGTGGGAGCAAGGAGAGAAGCCGCGAGGCAACATAGAATGCTGACGGGCCTGCTCCAATGATGGCTAATTTCATTTGAGTCATATTGCTGACCCAGGAACTTATCCTTGCGCACAGGATAATGCAGCAATGAGTATACAGTATGTACTCTCTAGATTTGGGGCATACCAGTCAAGTTAATTTCCCGCTAATTGGTATCAGAAATTGCAGATGCATCACGGTGGAAGAAAGAAAGAAATTTCGATCACCCAGATAAGGGCCTTTTGCCTGATTCGGCTGCTAACTGGGCTGTTCCCTGGCCGTGCCTCAGGTTAAGCATTCACGTAGATCTTCTGTTTTCTAAGGCCCACAACGAACAATTTTACCGCCCATGGCCCTCCTCGAGCAGCAACGAAATAAAATGAAAAGAAACATGCTCTTCCCGATCGGGGAATCGAACCCCGAGCTGCCGCGTGAGAGGCGGCAATGTTAGCCATTACACCAACCGGGAGGTAGCAAGTGGAAAATGCCTTACAGCTGGTAAGCAGTTTCCAGCCTGTTTGGCATACAGCAATAAAATGGAAACAAAGACAAAAAATGATCTTCCCGATCGGGGAATCGAACCCCGAGCTGCCGCGTGAGAGGCGGCAATGTTAGCCATTACACCAACCGGGAGGTGACAATTCTGTTGACAAGCCTACTATGATATCGATCATATTGATCATTAGCTCGCCTAGCTAATCGCATGTGTTGTGGACGTGGATCGCCAAGTAGAAATCGCACTGGGACAAGTGGCAATATCGGATTTATTCAGAGTATCCTCACCAAATCATAGGGAGTGTCACAGTATCTGCAAATAACGATGCGTCGCGCAGTCTAGAGTTCAGCTTGTCATTTGCGTTGAATGACACCAAAACGTTGTTTGGCCGCATATCCCTTCCACTTCTGCAAGTCTTCTCGTTCAAGGAGTAATTCCATAGTATGAAAATTACGCGCAAGTTCTATATTCGTTGCACAGTGATGTACAGCTGTGTGACAAGGCCTGTTCCGGGAGAAAGTGAGCATGTACAAGAAACAACTGTCTACGAAATACATTACCGACACAGCCAGGCAACAGAGTTCAGCATCCGTTCGGGGTGCCACTTGCTTTTAAGAACCTTTGTATGGGTAGATCGAGGGATAAGATGATGGTAGGTAAGTGGGACAGCTCGTTGACACAGCTCGCACGTTTCTGTGCGTGTAGTTCCCCATGGTGGAGGTGGCGCAGAAGTCTGCGTGATGTAATCGTGAACCGTCCTCCTCAAAAATTCGACAGCGGCATCATTGTCTGATGATAGTCCATATGAAACTATGGTATCCACAAAAGATGTTGGGGTATTATCGAGGGAAATGGTATCGGCATTAGGAAGTTTATCACGGGCATCGTAAGACGCTTCGCGAAGCACGGGAGGAAGAAAGGGCCAGACTTCGTCTGCGAGATATAAGATAAAATCGTTCAGGTCGGACGTATCGTCGGCTCCAGCTGCGGGCTGACCAATAAAGCGTCGAGCCAAACAGTCCTTGAATGTAGCGAACTGCTCAGAAATGTCTTGCATATTTACGTCGGGATTTGGTGGTTAGCACATAATTAAGTAGTCAATCGTAAACCATCGGTACCGAAGAGAGTTACATAAGAGAAGGCACACGAAGGCGACAGAAGATGGAAGTAAACCACAAGCGGTGCAATGCTAACATAGACGCCCACACGGCATGTGTTATCAGTGGCGCTATATTTGCATTTTCAACGAACGAAGGTGATCCTTCGCTGCCCCACATGTACCCAACATGTAACTGAATCATCCCACTTCTGTACCAGCCTGACAGCATGCCTGCGTCTACCAGGCGTCGAATATCGTATGTGATACCTCCGCCGGATGTTTCGGTTCCACAGTTTCAATTACCGGCTTTCGCGTCTCGTCGTAACGGAGTTACAGGACCACTACTATTGGCTTCTCCAAAAGGCTCCCAGAGTATCCCAGACGAACAACCCAAATGGGCCCGGCACCCTCGGCATCGATTGGGTGTGGTCTCATTAGTCCTAGACACATCTACGCAACTCGCTGGGCGCAATGCACCGGAAGGTATCCTTTACAGCGGTGCTAGGGATGGTCTTGTCTGCTCATGGGATTTGGAGTTGCCGATGAAGAAAAGAGAGGTGACCAAACTCCCTAAAGGCCTTCGCAAAGGCGGGGGCCGATGGGAGACTATGACGGGATGGGGAGATAATGCGATTGACGAAGAAGCCGAGGACGGTGACGACAAGCTAAGGAGTGATGGCGACATCATTGGAGACGTCGACAGTGCGCGGAAAAGACGACGGGGAAACCCTGACGGGTCGATACCATACGAGTTTCAATGGGAGACGGATCTTGACGCGTACCAACCTGGCAGAGTAAGCGAGACATTATCTGTTGCGACCAGAATGCTCATCGCATGCACTCTAGCCAACTCAATTTCGACAATGCTCACAAACTCACTCCGATTGGGTGAACGACCTCGCTTTGTGTAATTATAATCAAACAGGTGCGTTCTAATTATCATCTTATGCGATCGGCGCTAAGAATCCACAGTCATTTCCGCATCTTCCGATGGAAGCATCAAGGCGTGGAATCCACACTCATCTAATTCACCAGACCCTTCTGTGATTGGTACCCATACCGATTACGTTCGGTGCCTGGCCAATTGGTCTGTACTTCACGCACATGTGAAAACAGCCGTTCTAAATTGTATTTAGCCGCGAACAACAATGGGTAGCATCGGGATCTTTCGATCGCACAATAAAACTCTGGGATATAAGCCGAACGGAGTCATCACATGCGCCGGAACCTCTCCAGACATTGAATCTATCTGATGTGAATGCTCCTAAATCGTCTATCTACGCCATTGCGGTGGATCCATTTGGTCACGCTGTTGCATCTGGATCGCCGGAGCGAGTCGTTAGAATGTGGGACCCTCGGTCAGGCAAGAGGACGGCGAAGTTGGTGGGCCATACGGACAATATTCGGGCTATCATAATCTCTGACGACTCGAGATATGTGGGTGATCAAATGGACATGTACAGGCAATATTACTCACACAAATTTCAGCTTCTCACAGGGTCCGCTGATGGTACGTCTGTGAGGCAAGAGTGAATATATTATTTGCTTACTCTACCGCAGCATCAATCAGGCTCTGGTCTCTTGTTTCGCAGCGCTGTCTGCATACGTTTACATATCATGCAGATTCCGTATGGTCGCTTTCTTCATCCCATCCGTCACTCGAGGTATTTTACTCCGGCGACAAAACGGGACTGGTATGCAAGGTCGACGTCGAAGATTGCTCAGACGTATCAGAAGGTGAATGCATAGTGATTTGCCAAGACCCAGGGGAACGCAGCCTGGCCTCTTCAGAAGGTATCAATAAAATTGTGGCGTTGGACGACAACTTGTTATGGACCGCATCTGGAAGCTCAAGTATCAAGCGATGGAAAGTTCCACAACGGCGGGCAGTCAGGGCCTCCCTTCTAGGCGCTTCTGATAGATCCGAGTCTCCTGTCATTTCAAGACGGCGGCCAACCATTAACAGTATAGACCCACTTCACAGTCCACAACCGACGTCGCCTTCATCGCCTTTGTCACCCCATGGCCGAGGCGATTCGTATTTGGCCCCTCCACCTACAGGTTTGGAGGTTCGGAATCGCGAAGAGAGCTCACTGTACGGCATTCCATTTGAGAGTCTTGTACGACTGGCATCGCCCAATGATCCGTTTGCTTTTGCCCCGGCGTCGCGAGGTCGCGATCCGGAAGTGGCCACCCTCTACTCGGCGGCATCCATAAAGTCTGTACCAACCACAGCTGCCATTCGATCACCGCTGCATCTCCATCGTCCGCCCCAGCAAGGCATCTCGCCTAGTCCGATACGGACTGACATGCCTTCGCGGTTAGGTACTGCTGACGACACTATGCATGCTACCAGCACTCCCCGTGCAGATTTCGATGAACGAGAGTTGGCTGCAGATGCCGTCCCACTATACAGTGCTCCAGATGACATCGTTCACGGTGACCATGGCCTTGTCCGATCAGTCATTCTTAATAACAGAATCCACGCCTTGACTGTCGATATTTCTGGAGAGGTGGCCGTGTGGGACATAGTTCGCGGGACATGCCTTGGACGATATACACGCGAAGAGGTTGCAGCTGCTACGCGTAGTGGCAGCACCGCAGGGAGCAATGGCTCCGAACACGAGCGAAGTCCAAGGGATGCATTGGAGGCAGTTAGGGAGCGGATTGAGGGTGAAGCTGTTGTCGCCCCGTGGTCTACAGTTGACACCAAGACTGGTGTGCTCACTGTACATTTGAACGAGAAGTGTTTTGAGGCAGAAATTTACGCGGATGAGGCTGGGTTTAGCCCTGATCGCCGGTTCAGCGATGAAGCAAGACGTAAGTTTTTATCCCAGTATGGCTTGTCGGGCGGCTAATGCAACTTGGTATTCTAGTGAACGTTGGCAAATGGGTGTTACGCAATCTGTTTATTGGATTCATTCGCGAGGAGCAGCGCTCTCGTAGAAAGCAAAGTACCAGCAGCCATGAACACCCAAACGTGCAAAATCCTCCAGCCAACCTGCAACCAGAATCCAATGGCAATATGTCACGCCATCGTCCTTCGACAGATAGTACTGCCTCAGCGCAGGCAGCCAAACTTTACACAGCCTCCCTTGTGATCTCTTCACCCAAGATGATACCTGCCGTTGCCCCCTCACCAACAAGTTCCGCAGCGCCCACAGCTCGCTCGTCCCCATTGCTTACTCCACTGATACCCATTCACCCAATATCGAAAGATACACTACCTTTACCCCCAATACCACAGTCCCCTTTAGGCAGCAACGATGCTACCCCCATGCCCCGACATACCCGCACTCAAACCACAGACGGCGGCATACCCCCTCTCGCTACCTCAAAAGATGATTATTTTACCATGCGGATTCGTCCCAGTTCAGGTACTACTGCCTCCGATGACCCTGCGCCGCAGACTCCTGGTGCCGGCTTAATGGGGCGGCTGAAGAGTTTTGGTGGGAAGGTCGGCGCGCGGAAGGGATCTACGGAGATTGTACCGCCGTCGCCACCAGTGGGGCGGACTTCGATCCCTGAAGTAAGGGCTGAGGTGAGCTTACCGTCGTATTCATTTGGAGGGTAGAGTATTGATTGTATTCTGTCACAGAACCGGACAGAACCATCCCCGGAAAAGCCCAAGACGCCTCAACAGGTTCTTCTGTCTGGCACTCTGTCACCACCATCGTCCAGTGAAGCACCCAATCTCAACCTCCCTTCCAATATGACCCTGCTTCTCTCTGAAGAAGACTATCCAGGTTGGAAGACCATCTACAGAGGCACGGTTACTAGCACCTGGATGGACTTATCTGTGTTGGAAGCTGTGATGCCCATGTGGTTACTGGAATACCTTTTGACGAACAAAGTACCTGCTGTTCCCGTCAGC